ATTCCTGCTAGCTTTTGTGATTCTTTGCATATACTTGTTCCGTAACACAACCCCTCAGCAAGAATCTTCTGGTTTAGGAAGGTGAAAACACTTGATTACGTACAAAAGATTTTGTTCTACCTTTTATGCTGTTGTAACTGGTCTTACTTGGTTTAGTTTCTGTTCTAGGGCAATGTCTGCATATATTACTGTGGCTGCATTTCTTTTGGGGGCTCTATGTTCGGGTATTGCAGGTTATGTTGGGATGTGGGTATCAGTCCGTGCTAATGTGCGGGTCTCCAGTGCAGCTAGACGATCTGCCAGAGAGGCATTGCAGGTTCATTTTTTGTTCTAGGGATTATTCGTAGCTCTACATGTTCATGCATTCAAAATGCTAAGTGACAGATTTAATGCAGATAGCAGTTCGTGCTGGTGGATTCTCTGCCCTGGTTGTTGTTGGTATGGCTGTGATTGGTATAGCTATCCTTTATTCTACATTTTATGTTTGGCTGGGTGTGGATTCACCGGGCTCGATGAAGGTTACTGATTGTAAGTCTAAAATTTCCGTTTTCTTTGAATATTTTCCTTCTACGTAACTAATGTGTACTTTGCTGGGCTTTGGTGTATTGGGAGCTTAGAGCAAAACATTTATTGCGAAAATAATGGGTTCATATTTTCTGTGATATATGGGCAGTATATTCTTAGTTGTATTATGATGTGAAGTAATTATGATTGAGTTGTGGTAGGTTAGCGTGTTTTGATAATCATTCTCTTGTGAAAATAATGGAGTGGTCATGTTTCAGACTTTCAGTGCAACAATGTTAAGTTATTCTCACAAAAAGCTAGCTGCAAAATGTTTCATGTTCATAGTGTCTACTGATATTTTTGCCTTCGTGTTTTATTTCCAGAGTTTGTTCTTGAATTTTCTCTATTCCAGTTGTGTAGGCAACTAGACTAGTCTTTTGCATTGAGGATGCCGGATATATTGTCAAGAAGAGATAGACCTGTTAGATTTACTGATTGGCTTTTATTTTCCTCTGGCAGTGCCTCTTCTCCTTGTTGGATATGGTTTTGGTGCTTCGTTTGTGGCCTTGTTCGCTCAGTTGGGGGGTGGAATATTTACTAAAGCCGCTGATGTTGGAGCAGATCTGGTCGGAAAAGTAGAGCAGGGTATTCCTGAAGATGATCCTCGAAACCCTGCTGTTATTGCTGATTTGGTATTTGTTGTTTTCCTTTTTTATCTTTATTCTTTTGGGTTTTCATTGACATGGAGGGGAAATCCTTGACTGCGGTATATCATATTTGTGCTTCAGTATTTTTTGTTGCACACTTCAAATCTGCTGAGAAACTTACTCCACATGTATTATTTACCACTTGGGTTCAAAATTCATGATATTGCAGGTTGGAGATAATGTGGGGGACTGTGCTGCTCGAGGTGCTGACTTATTTGAAAGTATAGCTGCTGAAATTATCAGTGCAATGATACTTGGTGGAACAATGGCTCAGAAGTGTAAAATCGAAGGTCTGTGATACATCACTATTTTCTAAAGTTCTCTGTACAGGGAACGTTTTAGTATAAGTTATTCCAGTTTTTCGTCTACTGTGCTCCAAGTTCTGATTTGATTTTGTGGAAAAGGATAGGCAGCAGGATTCGGACCTGGTATTTCTGCTACACAGTAATTATAAATCTTATATGAGTGGATTTGGTCTCCATTTGCTAGGATTTGGGATATTTTCTTGAAGGGTGCTTGTTAAGTGTTTGCTGTTTTCAACTTCTTGTATGTTTCTGTGCATACATTAATCCGGGATTGACGAGAACCACTTTCAGTGTTGTCTACTATCACTTGGAATTGACGGGGGCTCAGTTTTACTCATAAAATTGCTGGCCAAGCCTATTTGCGCTCAGTCTGGCATTAAGATGTTTGAGATTGGCATGTAGGAACTAGGAAGACAGGGGAACATCGAGTTATATGATATGTACTTTTTAAGTTCATTGCTTGCACAATCTGAACCCTCTTCTGCTTCTTGATTCTAGATGGCTTACCCATGCTTTCCTGTTATGCAGATGCATCTGGCTTTATCCTATTCCCTTTAGTTGTTCATTCATTTGACTTGGTAATATCCTCAGTCGGCATTCTTTCTATCAAGGGAACACGTGATGCTAGCATTAAAGCCCCAATTGAAGATCCGATGGTTGTACTTCAGAAAGGATATTCTTTGACGATCATATTAGCTGTTTTGACTTTTGGTGTGGTAATGTAATCTACCATATGCCACCTCATGTTGTTCATGTTGTGTGCAGTCTTTTTTATCGCCTTTATGCGCACATGCACATAAAGGCATCTCTAAGCAAGTGAAACCCTAATTTTGTGGTTGCAAATTTGAGAGCATTCATTGATATCTTCTGATGGCTTTGCTTATGTTTTGTAGTCCACTCGCTGGTTGCTATATACCGAACAAGCACCTTCTGCTTGGTTGAATTTTGCCTTGTGTGGGTTGGTTGGCATCGTTACAGCCTATGTATTCGTCTGGATATCCAAATATTATACCGACTACAAGCACGAGCCTGTCCGAACATTGGCTCTCGCTAGCTCCACCGGTCATGGAACCAATATAATTGCTGGGGTCAGCTTGGGTCTGGAATCGACGGCTCTTCCTGTTCTGGTTATAAGTGTAGCTATCATATCTGCTTTTTGGTTGGGTAATACCTCGGGACTGGTGGATGAAACTGGAAATCCTACAGGCGGTCTATTTGGCACGGCTGTAGCTACAATGGGAATGCTAAGCACTGCTGCTTATGTTCTTACTATGGACATGTTTGGCCCCATAGCCGATAATGCTGGTGGAATCGTTGAGATGAGCCAGCAAGTATGTGTCGCCTGATTTCATACATCACTTTGAACAGTTCAAAAGGTGTGTCCATCCTTTTTTTTTATTTCCCGAGCTAACGTATTAGTTAATGTCTTATGCAGCCAGAGAGTGTTCGTGAGATCACCGATATTCTAGATGCTGTTGGGAACACCACAAAAGCAACGACGAAAGGGTTTGCCATTGGATCTGCTGCTCTTGCGTCATTCCTTCTCTTTAGCGCCTATATGGATGAGGTTTCAGCTTTTGCTCATGAATCTTTCAAAGAGGTCAGGAAATTACTATATCCTATCCAAGACTTATATTCTTTCGTTTCCTAGTTCGAGCAGCTTCGCTTCACACGCTCGTCCTCTGATTTCAGGTTGATATCGCCATCCCAGAAGTTTTCATCGGTGGATTGTTGGGTTCTATGCTTATTTTCCTATTCAGTGCTTGGGCTTGCTCAGCAGTTGGTCGAACTGCCCAGGAGGTCGTCAACGAAGTAAGGAGACAATTCATTGAGAGGCCTGGCATAATGGTGAGTCCATTTCTTTTCTCCTCTTTGTTTATTTGATCCCTCCCCTCTGTGACTTTGCAATATCAAAACTTTTTGTGACAAGGACTACAAGGAGAAGCCGGATTACGGTCGCTGTGTTGGAATTGTTGCATCTGCAGCTTTGAGGGAAATGATAAAGCCTGGAGCTTTGGCTATAGGCTCACCAATTGTAGTTGGTAAGTTTGGTTCTATTTCAATTTTCGAATTGAAAGAAAACGTTTAATGATAATTTGTTTGTTCTCTCTCCAGGTCTTATGTTCCGGATTTTGGGATATTACACGGGACATCCGCTTCTCGGGGCTAAAGTAGTAGCGGCCATGCTCATGTTTGCGACAGTGTCTGGTATATTGATGGCTCTTTTCCTCAACACAGCGGGAGGCGCTTGGGACAATGCGAAGAAATACATAGAGACTGGAGCTCTCGGAGGCAAAGGAAGCGATTCCCACAAAGCAGCGGTTACCGGTGATACGTATGCACCTCTCTCTCTCTCTCTCTATATATATATATATATGCATAGTCCTCAAAAGAAAAAGACATTCACTATGATCATGATATATTTGGGTTTCGAGGTGAAATGGCAGTGTGGGCGATCCATTCAAAGACACAGCAGGACCGTCACTTCATGTGCTCATCAAAATGCTTGCGACCATCACCCTTGTCATGGCTCCTGTCTTCCTTTGAACGGTATCCATCTCTGTCCTCCTTCAGATCTTATCCAACTCGTCCCCGAGCCCTTAGATCGTTGTCTTGTGCACATACATACATATATATATATGTATAGAGAGAGAGAAAGAGGTGGGTTTTGATGGTATGAATAAATGAGGTTTTTAGATGACACCCTTTGGTAGCTCTTTTTGTCTAGAACCAATATTTAACACACTCGATGACATTTCATGCTTTAATCAGTCCTTGAAACTCCATTGAATACAATATATACGAAGCTATGTTGTATGCTCTTTCATGGAAACCCCTTTAACTTCTCTGCACAGCTTTTAGTATCTTCTGACCACAAACATAATCTGAAACCAATTCTCTGTGTTGTTTTTAGGACAGACCGGTCAGTCGGCACAAGAAGCTTAGAAAGATCTCTAAAATGGATTTGAAAATCAGGTTCTCATCGTCAGGACCTCTGCTCTTTCGTGGATAGACGAATACCAATTTTCGGGTACCTGATTCACGGTTCAAATCGGATATTTTTATATGCCCAACTAGACCAAACAGTTTAAAAGTATAGGGATTCGATTTCGTTTTCCTTTTAAATGGTACTGTTTGAGACAAAGAATCAATGGCGTCCAAAATTTTTGGAAGGTCCAATAACACTTTTTTTTTCAAATGGGAAAAGAAACACGCCTCCGATATTCAGAAAGAGCCCACAGAGGGAAGATGTTTCTGTAAGAAGCGTAGTGTAACATGCAGTTCTTCATGAACACTCCTGTTACTTCCTGCCGTCATGAAATCAAACGCAACAGATTGCAGAGAATTCATTAGAGTGACCTTTTGTTAATAACGTCTTTGCCACTCGTTTCTTCGTTACCTGCTGAGGGAAATCTCCGTTCTCCAGCTGGGAATTGATGATTAGTTTCGCGGCTCGGTGGAGAGGAACCTGATCTCTCTCGGCCTGTGATGTAAGAACTGAAGAATTTTAGTCTCGAGGCCGAATTATTCATCCACTTTCAGAGTTCAGACAGTGTGGTCAGTGTTTTTCACGACAGTAAGTATGTTCGAACCTGTCCAGCATGAAGCAGACCCATCAGAGCCCAGGAAGTTTGCACCAGGTTTGATCTTTCTCCTTCCAATGGAACGTATCTCTGCATCGAAAACCGTGTATATATATATATATATATATATTGTCTCCAAGCCGTTGATCTTTGCTCGTAAGAAGCCGAGGGACTCGGGAATTGATACAGTTATTACCTTTCTGGGGCAAGACAGGTAGCTTTCTCCCCATCCGCCATTGCCTCTCTGTGTTTCGAGAAGGAAATGAACGCCTTTTCGCAGTGCAAGACAGTTGTCGTAAGTCTTGCCAGCGGCTTCTAGGCCTCCGAGAGCAAACCATGTCCCGTACGTGAAGCAAACACCCCAGTTTCCGTACCTGTGAATTGAAAGAAGGATAGATGTTAAAACAATGTTTTTTTTTTTGTCTCGAGAACAATTCCAAGGACACACCAGTAAACTTACCATGAACCGTCGGCCATTTGAATTGTTTCTATGTACTTGACGGCTTTCTGGATGAAAGCATTGATCTCTTCTGTCCTGTGATCTGGGTATAGCTGCTTGAACAGAAGCAGTGCCTGGACTGCTGATGAAGAGCATTCATTGTACTCATGCTCGATCACAATGTCCGCAAAAAATTCCGTAGGATTGAGCAACTGGAACATAAAGAAAGAAAGAAAGAGAACGGTATCTTTTCTTTTCCTGAGGCCATAAACATTTTGAAACAATTCCCATCTGTTTGGTTCTTACTTCCAACCACTTGGGTGCACCGGCGGGCTCCCATGCCGTCACGCCTCCATTTTCACTCTGCATCATCAAGTTAGGGCTCATGAAGTTTGCTTACCACGGCCTGAAAACTTGTTATTCGTAAAAGAAATTAGTCGGATGGTACGGATGGTAACTCCCACCTGTAAAGACAGTAGGATATTGACAGAGTCGTATAGTTTCTCGGGATCGATTTTCGGGCCTACAACTTCAGGTGACATCATGGATAGCAACAGGCAACACTGTGACAAGAAAAGAAGGTAAGGGTGTGATTCTTGTCGACACTTGCAGAGTGTAAAGTGTTGCAATGGCTGAGATCAGATCACCTTAATTCCTTCAGCAGTACAGTCTGAAACCTGCCATCCGTGATCTTGATCGGAGAAGGTCCATGCTCCTCTTGAAATGTGACGATACATCCCCTTGAAGTCGCCCGTCGGGTTATCTCTGACCTTTCAGAGCATTTTTTCCGATTTGGGGAGACACGTTTCAATCGTTAGGCGGAGAGTACTACTCACTCGGGGACTCGTAGAAATCAGCGAATGAAAGGGACGATAAACCTGAGATTTCTTTATGAAATCGTGTCCTCTCTTGAGTACATTTGATACTTCATTGGAGAGATTACTGGCGAGTAACGCTTGAATTGCAAACCCTGTGTCCCATAATTGACTCCCAAAGCTCTGCACAAAACCATGACACGTTAAAAAAAAGTTTTCTATCTACCCGTTTGCTGTTCATCTTCCCTACGGAATCGACGTTAACGTTAAACGAAAATTGGATTTGACCATCCTAGATACCTGCATTTTCATCCCATCTTCTGCAACCCATAAGTAATCGGGTATTCTAGCAAGATGCTTCTTGAAACAATCTCCATTCGGGTCTTCCACCCAACAAGCAAGCATGCACAGCACCTTAAAAGAGTAAAAACCTCAAAGATACATTTCAAAGGACTGATGCATTCCGGTGTCACTTTGCTCAAGGGGGGCTACCTATGCTATACCTTTTCAACACATCCGATGGTGATATAACAGCTGTTCTCGTCTTCATAGTGTATGTGTTCCATTACCACCTTAAGAGCCTTCTCCCTAAGAAGCTTGTTAAAGGGCCAGTTTGTAAGGAATGGCTCCCCAAAGACATAAAGACAGTCCCAAATCAGATCTTGAACCAAAGGGTGCGGATAGTACGTGTCTTCCTACAGGTTAAAAAGAGGGAATACCTTTCACTGCCTCTTCCAGGAAAGAAACTTGTAAAGAAGAAAACCGACCAAAGATTACCTTTGCACAAAGACAGCGTGCTTTCGTCCAGTTGATTTTTTCGTAGGGCTGTAAGTACAGCTCTTGGCGCAGTTGCAGGACAAGAGGTGTCAATGGACCAACAAATCTCCGCCCATAGAGATATGACATTGGCATGTAAACCATCCGGCAGTAGCACCACATCTTTGCTGCAGTTATCAGTTAAATCATATCAAAACCAAATGCCGCATGAGAAATCACAATTTCAAATCAGAGAGGGAAAGAACATATTGCTGAACCACACTCATTTTCTTTTTAATGTTCAACTCAGAGAACAAAAGAAGAACACTTTGTGTTGGACAATCACTTACTCTTCTCCATCATTTTTGGGATCAAATCACAGCAATACTCGATTATTGAAGCAACTTCTTCCAAATTTGTTGAAGCAACTTGAATTGAAGATGTTAACGAAACAAACCTGGATGGAAAGGAAGAAAAGCAGGTAGGATCCAAAATTCTGGAGGCATGGGATTGCATCCAGACCATTCAAAGACACCGAGAATCTACAAACAGTGTAAGATAGTTAAGATCTCCTTTCATTCCCAGGATCAACAGGTGTCTGAATATTTACCGAAAGCCAAGTTTTCCCCCAAGAGGGTATGAACGTGACACCACCGTGATCAAGAATCCATTGTCGGGCACGTTTGCACGCATTTTCTTGTCCCCCATCAGGGCCTTCTCCAAGTATACGCATGCATATGTAATTCAGAGAAGTGCAGAACATCGTGCTGTGACTTTCAATGTGTAATCCCCAGCCGCCATCTTCGTTCTAGTAATATGAAAGTACATATCAAGCACGGCGAGGGAGAATACATATCCTAGCGTTGATGATGCACGTTGCTGGTGGAGACTAATGGAATACAGTACCTGGTGGCAGTAGATGTAGCGGAGGACTTCTTTACGATGCTCTGCAGTGAATACGTTGTCAAGATGCCCTGTGATGTACAGACAGAACACCTGCACATGATCAGGAAGAGACACAAGTTCATATGTTTATTCCAAAACTTGTAAAATTGAATCAAGTGACTGCTTATGGTCTCGGGCTGACATTCGGCTTTTCCAATGATGTATCTCACTTCACTGAGATTTCGTCGTTCGTCAGCGATGGAGGGGAAGAATCTGAATACTAGTTCTTATGATTTTGTCAGAATTTCACCATCTCACCTTCAAACTAATACAAAATTCAAAGATGCTTGGAGAACAAGCAGATGAAGAAGTTGAAAGAACTGGGAACTACACCTGAGTTCGAAACCGGTAGAAATCATTTCAGTTGAACTTGGTGTATACATACTGAAGTTTCGGGCGATGCAGACGCCGTTTTTAGACGAAAAATTCCGCCTTTACAGAAACGTAACTAAAAATCTCACTTTTACTATTCCTTTCAAGCATTCCACTTACAAGAACACTAAAAATCACAATCATTTGCCATTCAATCTCATAGTTCTTCTCCCTCTCTCTCTCCCCTGCAACTAAAGAAACCATAACGCCAATACAAAGAACGAGAGTGAAAGCTGACGAAAAACACGTACCAAAGGCGGGAGGAAGAACAAAGGGCCGGCGTTTTCGGCCGGCCAGTGGCCGTCGTCGGACTGCAACGCCGAGAAGAAATGGACACCTCTCCGTAACGCATTGGTCAGCTTTACATGCGTTATCTTCTCGGCGTCTCCGACCTTCACCGGCGGTATCAGTTGCTCCAACTTCCTCTCCTTCAGAAACTGTCATCACATTTTATTTCTCGTCGCATGAAATTGGGCCCTCTACTGTTAACTTTGTCTAAACGTGGCCCTTACGAATTCTTGGGTTACAAAGAATCATGGAAATTAATCAATGGAGGAGGAAAGACACATACTTGCATTCGCCACAGGAGATCACTACTTGCTTTAACCCTAGGCCGGTTCTGGTAGAATCTCCGGCGAGCCTCTTCCACGGCGGCC